ATGATTGCTTGCTTTCAAAAAAAATTCATTTCTCAGTTTTACGATGTTGGGTAAAATCAAAATATTTGGCTAAGAAATATGAAATTAAAAAAAGTAATTTAATACTCATAATTTCTCATAAAATTACTTTCTCATCCTTTTTTTAAATTTCACTTCCTTGCCGCATTTGCCAAAAGCAAGCACCAACCGACGCGCCAAAAATTTTCGTATGATATATTTTTTACACTTAATGTTATTACACACATATGTATATACACATGTATATGTATGTGAATTTCTTAAACGGTCATTTAATATATTTTTTTTCTTTTCCTTCTTACATTTTCATGCGAGATTTAGCGTTCGCCCAATACACGCCCTACACGTCACTGCACACATTGCAATAATAAAATAAATGAAACGTAATTACAATTAATTAAGTTAAAGCCCTAAATATTACACAAGCAGCAATAATTGCTTAGAAGAGAATCGAATTTATAACCTAAAATAGAAAAGTATAGTTGTAAAGCGATTCAATTGACATCCTTACGCCGCCGCCGCCGCTGTCATCTCTATTTGGTCGGTATGAAACGCGCCTTCACTTGATGGGCCAGTAATTGATGTTGTTGTTGCTGTTGTTGATGCAACTGCTGTTGCTGTTGTTGTTGCTGCTGCTGTTGCATATGTTGGCTTAGTTGCTGTTGAATAGATAAGCCGCTGGCATTGCTGATGACGTGCTGATTGTGCAGCGGCTCGTTAATCTCAACTTTAATGGGAGGATTTAACGGTTCTTTGTTCTTGCGCGGCCGGCCACCTGGAAAATCAAGGAAATAGCATTTATTTTTGGCAGCTACAAAAAAAATTTTGGAGAGGACAGTGAGCGTTAAAAAAAAACTGTAGTTGAAGTGAGAAAAATAGGTGTCAGTACTGAAACTGAGAAATATTAAACAACAAAAAAAATTTATAAAATTATTAAACCCAGCGAATTTCTGGCAAATATGGCTTCAGTTGGAGTTGCAGGAAAGAAGTTGTTGAAAAAATATAATTCAGAAACGCGTGCGAGATTGTAGGATTAGAAGAAATGGCTTGAACGACTTTTTCCGCACATAAACTTGACACAAAAAGCAAATTAAAAAGAAAATACGTTAAGTGACGCAAATAAAGCAGGTGACATAGCAGGGGCAAAATATACGATCAAACAGTGCTTCAAACGCAAAAAACGTGAAATGAGTGAGGTTAGGTTGAAAAGGGTTAATGTAAGATTTCACATTAAACGTAAAGTCAAGCATATTAAAGTGGCGTTTTCTTCACAATTCCACAGGCAAACGACCCAAAAGCTTAAATTAACGCACATGCCCGCTTGTCGCATGGCGCAGCAAGTTTGCGCAAATCTGCTTACAAGCAGACACTTGAACACTAAAGCTAATGATATTATATATAAATAAACTGTTTTTGTTTACGCTTTCTTCCTGTATTCGAACACATACGTTGGCCGACTGTGTGTTGTATGGATAGCGGCTGACCGATCATAGCCAACGGCTGTTGCGGCGATTGCAGTGTTATCGATTTCTTCGAACGCTTCGGCGGCGGCAACTCGTTGTGTGCGTGATTTGTTAACAAATGTTTGGATAAATGCTGACGCACTGCGAAAGCCTCATTGCAATTGGCCACCGGGCAGGTGAGGTATCTAAACAAATGAAATGAAAATGCCAATTAATATGCTGGAATCAAATGAAACACACACAAATCTGCGTTAGGCAGCGCTACACACCTGCCCTCCAAATGACGCTGCACGTGCTTCTTGAGCAACGTCTCCTGATTGAATGAGCTGGGACATGTGTCGCATTTGTATTTGAACTCGTCGTGCATCTTCAAGTGCT